CTGAAACACTGAATGTTTCCACCTGACAATGTGGGTTATAGTTTAGGCTTCCTTCATTAACAAAGGCAGATTTGACAAAGAGAAGTTTCTCTGCTTTTTCACACTGGATCCTGTTTCTGTTTTCATCAACAATATTCACTGTCCACATTTGCACAAGGGGCTGAAAGGTACTTGCATGCTGCCTTGGCCCGGGCTGGAAAGCGAGACATGTTCCTTGTCCAGTACAGCAAAGGGCTTTCATTCCTTGGGAAGATGGGCTCACTCAGGTCGCCATGCACCAGAAAGTACGCAAGTGCATATGAATGTGTGATGCAATTACCAGCAATGACATTTTGCATCATTTTCCATTCCTGAACTTGATCATTACTTAGAGCTGATGACAAAGCCTAAGAACAAAAAGGATGTAAATTCAATGTAAACAAATACTCTCTCTCTTTTTTAATCCAATACATTTGCAACTTACTGTATGCAATTGCGAAACGTGTGAAACATTAAATCAGACAAAGAAGATCGGATTAATAATACTATACCTGTACACTTGTGTGGCTTGTCAGAGTTGCCTGCTGTTGCATGATCAAGTTCTCCTCCAGAATTTCAGCATGCATGTCAAGCAGTGAGTGGTCATCCTTTGGGCTGCTGCTTTTCTTTTTCTCTTGTGGTTCTTTAGTAACTGTAGCACTGGAACTCTGCATTATTTCATCAACTTGCTTCTGAAGCATATTTAGCGTTGCCTGCTTGGTGTTTGTGTCTATATAACGGTCTTCGTACCTTGGGTCAAGAACTGTTGGCAAGTGGTAAAGTGGCTCAGAGAAAACACTTCTAAATCGCTCATTTACAGCTTCCAGGAGTGTGGCCTTTGCGGTGCGGACCCCACTGTGTCGCCTTCCTTGTTCAGCAAACATTTCCGTGCTACAACAGAGGGAGTCACGCCTGCAGTTGTAGCACATTTTGAGCTGATCTCCTTTGTTAATTGTTCAAATGGAGTGAGAAGTATGGCCATGTTTTCAATGAGGCCCCACTGTTGTGCACTGAAACATGCAGGCAGCCCATGTTCTGCTCCATAAACACCAAGTGCACATTTCTGATTCACAAGACTTTTCTACATGTACAGTGACTGTTCCACCTGGTCGTGACATCTTGCTGTAGCACCTTGGTTGTCATGCCCATCTCCTGTTGAGTATCTCTCAGCCGAGAGGTGGCAAGTTGAGAGTGCGCGAATATGTCCAACTATTTTTACGTGTCTTCTTTCGACATGGTGAAAACCACACCGCCAACATAGCTTCTGTGCTTTGTTTGAATGTCCCACAATCCTTTGCTGCAGTCACATGACCAAATAAGAGGCATGTGACAAACCCCCAAAACAGAAAGCCATGAGCCTGTATTTGTACACAACACTGATGGAAAATAAATGTAAATCGGCCTAGTTTTACAAATCAGACAGATACCGATATATTGAAAATAGACTAACATTGATCGATACCGATGTGAATGCCGATATATTGCCCATCGCTAATTATATGTATTTATATCTGTAGCAGCTCCTAGTGAGCAGAACCAAGTGTCATCATAAGCTGCTGATCTAGCCTGATGCTCTTTATTTTATGGGTTACAGACGAGTGTTGCGTTTGACTGTTGATGCTCCGTGTTTTTATTTCTGCAGCGAGCCTTACTAACTCGCCTCACTCCACCCTGAGTTTCTTCTTTAAAATTCTTATTAAATCTATTCTCTCGATGCGTTCAACAAGCTTCCTCCGCGCCGTATTTTCGTTGCAGGATATAAACTTTACAACCGTGTCACAGAGTAAAAGTCTGGCATATATTTGTTTACATTTTTGCTGCTGTGTGCCTACAGTGTGAGTGAAAGGAAGGGAGGGGGCGAAGTGATGCTGTGTTCATGGCATTTCTAGGCTCCATTGTAGCAGCAACGGACAGCTGGTTTGACCAGCTCTGAAAGGCGTTAATCAGAATTTGCAGAGCACATATTTTTAAAGGACATCAGTTGCAGATTTCTCTTCTGGTTGGCGGACTGGGCATCGAAACTAGGAATTGAAACTTAAAGCTTTGAAAAATTCCGGGAGAAACTAACAAGCTTATTCACTAGAATGCTAAACGGGTTACATGTCGAGTTTGGTTACCACTCGATAAATATATTTTAAAGGCCAAATTGACATTGCATGTTATCTTGTCTTAAGACTGGCTCACAGTGTGTTGGGTCCTTCGGGTCCTTTCTTCAGTCTAGTAGTGGCTATGATTGTCACGGTGTGAAATTTTAACCTCACGGTTATTGTGACCAAAATTATCACGGTTTTCGGTATTATCGCGTTTTTTTTTTAAACGTTACATTTTCAGACAACTAAATAAACCTTGCATGTCAGGAAATATTGTCCTCAGTCTGTGTCTAAGTTTTGCCTAAAATGTGTTATTTTGTAATTATGTTCATTTGTTTACATTTTTCCCCTTTAGTCTTTAAAATACCAATATTTGCCCATAACTACTTCTTTTTTGTCTGTTTGTCTTCATTTAAACATATTAGATCAGATGATACTCAAGTAGCCTTCTAATCAGATACTTTTTTTTACCCTTGAGTAATAAACCTTATATCAGGAAAATATTGTCCTCGGTTTGTGTTCCAGTGAGCTTTGCAGATTTGGGAAAATGTCACAAATTCATAATTATTCTCGGAGAGAGACCAACTCTTATCTGCCCCTGGGAGCCCCGTAATGCATAGCGTCATTTCAACATGGGGGTGTCCGCTTAAAAAAAAAAAAAAACTATATTATTATTGTCAACATTTTTACCGGGGTTTACCGCTACACTGGTTACCGTGACAACCCTAGTTGTAAACAACAAAGTGCACATGTGCCGCCGGTAACTTCAGCAGATGATACGGTGGCTGGTAAAGGTCACCGCGCCTACACAGCAGCCACGGTAATCCACCAAGATAATATACTTAAAAAAAAAAACAAGACGGTTATTATTGTCAACTTTTTTACCGGGGTTTACCGCTACACCGGTTACCGGGCCACACAGGTGCCTGATTTAAAATTTTTTTTTTTTTACCAATTTTTAAAAATAATTTCCGCTGATATAGGAAGAAGTTGAATATATCGGCTGGCCTCTACCATGTTCTGTAGTTCATTCGAGTGAACACACACACACACACACACACACACACACACACACACACACACACACACACACACACACACACACACACACACACGCACAGTCCCCAGCCATTTTATTGGGTTTATTTTTTCAGTCATTTTGTTTACACAGCTATCTGATCATCCAACCGGAAGGCAGCAGCTATGGGTTTTTGTTCACTTAGATGTAGTGAAGATGCCTCAAATAGCAGCTCAGATAACCACTGCTTACTGACCAAGATCTGCAGAACAGCATCTCTGAACCACAACAGCTGCTCCAGATGGACTCTAGCAGCAGAAGGATCACACCAGAAGAGCCTGGAAAAACCTTTCCTGTTCTGATAAGTCAGGATATCAGACGCACACTCCGTCCCATAGTGCTTCTTCGTGAGAGCAGTTGTGTGTGTGTGTGTGTGTGTGTGTGGGGTGGGGGGTTTGCACACGTTCCGCTGCTGTTTCTCATCAGTATCACCTGATGGAGGGCTCTAGTTTCGTTGCACCGTTCGTGTCAGCAGACACGGTAGGGTCGGGGAGGGGGGCGGGGCATGATGCTTAGCCTGGCGGGTGGCCAAGCAAAGCCTGGCAGGCCACCAGGCTTATAAAGCGCTGGGGGAAACCCTGCTTCCAACACCCAGCACAATTTACGTTCCAGTAACCTAATCTCTATGGTTATTCCCAAAGCTCGCACCTCCTTTGGCTGCTCCTCATTGCAGTTTGCTGCTTCCAAAGACTGGAAAGAGCTGCAAAAATCATTAAAGCTCACTACCTACATTCTATCATCTTCCTTCCATAATTCATTACAATCAATAGTTTCTAATGTGTCTGCTTCTGGGTACTTAAAGACTGTTTTAAGTCTGATTTGATTGTTTGTACATATTGTAAATGAAAACAGCCCTTTTGTCTTCATGTCTTATTTTGATCGTGTTTGTTTTTATCTTGCCTGTCTGTTTTTTGTTGGTGTAAAGCTAATTATGCATCTGTTGCTTCTGCCTCTTAACCAGATCACTATAAATGAGTTCTCAATTGACTCATCTGGTTAAAACAGGTTAAGTAAATAAATACATTTCTGCTGTGAAGTTGGCATTTTTCACATGAGAGTCAATGGGAACTTGCTCCTTACTTGAGCCAACCACTAGCAGATAATTTGTCACTTCCACATTGGCTTCACTGTTGTCGTGCGGAGATTGCACCTTGGTTACATCGCAGCAGCCCAGTTCCATAATTGCATTTACAGGGCCACCGTCGCCCAAGAGTCTTTTCCTCTGGCCAGTATGTGCTCTCTCCCTTCGAGAGCCCCCTCACTCCAGCTTTTGTTTGATGGAAAATCTCATGCCTCAGAGAGTCCACGTTTCACGGACAGCTGCTGAGCGTCCTGCAGCACGCTGGCCTCCACACGGGTTTGGCTCGCATGACTGCGCATCTGCTTTGATTGTTGTTACATAACTTGGCATTTTATCCTCTGTTCTCCCAATCCTGCTTTTAAGTCCCCTTAGGCTTCGTTCTCCTCAGAGAGCACCTTTAGATTTCTCTCAGCCGACACACAAAACCTTCTATGTTGCACCATCCAATTTTATTTTCTTACTCTAAAGCGAGTTTTGGCATTTGAAAACTCGGGTAACTTTTGGGATTTCACTGAGATTATGTCATTATTTTAACCTAGTTGTTTTGTCTTAAGGACCTGGGTAACATTTGAAGCTTTGACATATTTATGATTAAAACTAATGTTAACTATAAGGGACTTTACACAAAATAGCAACTATTCCTTTTCACTTTATTCTTTAGTAGAGGTAGAGCTGTAATGTAAAACGCATGCATCAACCCGCAGACTAATCAGTTTTTATCGTCTCTCTGTAGGACACACTCTTTACAGGGTCTCTGAGACTCCAACATGGGGGTCAAAACCTTCACACACAGCTCGACCTCCCACAGCCAGGAGATGCTGGAGAAGCTTAACGCTTTACGCAATGAAGGTCACTTATGTGATGTTACCATTCGGGTTCAAGACAAGCTCTTCCTAGCACACAAAGTGGTTTTGGCCTGCTGCAGTGAATTTTTCCGTTCCAAACTCATAGGCCGGCCAGAGGAGGAGGATAAGTTTGTGTTGGACCTTCATCATGTGACAGTCAGTGGGTTTGCCCCTCTGTTGGAATATGCTTACACCTCCACTCTTTCAATAAGCACAGAGAATATTATTGATGTTCTGGCAGCTGCCAGTTACATGCAGATGTTTGCAGTTGCCAGCACATGTTCAGAGTTTATGAAGTCGAGTATTTTGTGGAACTCAACAAACCACAACAACATAACGGATAAACCGCATGAAGCAGCACCTGAAAGTGCTTCATCTAACTGTACCCTGACGCCACTGGATGGCAGCGTCTCACCTGTGTCATCTGACTGCAGCGTGATGGAGAGAAATGTCCCCATTTGTCGGGAATCACGGCGGAAACGAAAAACCTTTGTGAGAATGGCGTCACCTGAGAGTCCACTCAAATGCACTACACAAATGGTCACCACCTCCCCTCAAATTCCTAACCCATCTCTATCATTTTCTGATGGCCCGGCTCAGCCTGTGGAGTCGTCCCTGGCTTTTCCCTGGACTTTCCCATTTGGCATCGACCGTAGGTTTCACTCCGACAAATCCAAGCTGCCAGAGAGCCCACGTTGTTTAGAGCAAGGTGCTCCTGGGACCTCGGAGAGCGTGGTTTCTCGTCGGCTTAGTGACTTCTTGACGTGTGAGAGTTCCAAGGCAGTGTCATCACCAGCTGCAGCTGAAGAGGAGGACGTCAGGGTGAAAGTGGAGCGCCTTAGCGATGAAGAGGTTCAGGAAGCATCATCACAGCCGGTCAGCGCTTCACAGAGCTCACTGAGTGATCAGCAAACGGTGCCAGGGAGTGAGCAGGTCCAGGAGGAGCTGCTTATCAGTCCACAGTCCTCTTCTATAGGTAGGAGCAATATTACCTGATTGATAATACTTGAAAACACTGAAATATAGGATGGTTCTATGTTCCTCCTTCAATTTTTATTCATAAAAATAAATGAATGCAGACTGGCCTGTATTTATATAGCACTTTTTAGGGTTCTACAACCTCCCAAGGTGCTTTACACACACACACACACACACACACACACACACACACACACACACACACACACACACACACACACACACACGTGATGAGCTACAAGGCAGCCACAGCTGCCCTGGGGCGTACTGACAGATGCGAGGCTGTCCAGCCCTGGCTCCACTGGTCACTGCGTTGATGATGATGTTGGCTGTAGAAGAAGCAGCGTCCTGACTCAGTTTAGTCATTCTGTCAGACCTGCTTCAGCTTGCTCCCACTTATCCGCCTACGGGATTTTATTTGAATGATTTCAGTTGAAATTTCTGTTGTTCAGTGGACCAAAATGTTTTTAGAAAGACTTTTTAGCTCTTCCACAAATAAAGTAAATGAAAAATTAATTTTTCCCCTGTACTTTTGAACATTTTGTTACAATGGTATTTAATAGGATCCGTTCTTAAATAGATGATTTGCCATCAAAGCCATGAATCCAGACTCCGTGGTTATTTTTTCCTCCTCTTTTGAAGGATCGATGGATGAAGGAGTGTCGGAGAGCTTGCCTTCTATTCAGAGCACTTCTAATGCTGGAGGACATGCAGAGGATGATGAGAGGTATCATCACTTCTTTGAATTGTTTGTTAGAACTTGCAGTGACTACGTCATAAGCAGTAATATATAGTTGTGAATAAAATGACAGGGTGTCTGGGCCACACCTGTTAGGATAATAAAATTGGATGTTGAGATTATGCATGATGGTTGAAGATTGGTGGTTTTTATTATGTCAAAGCCTCAGGACCTTTTTGTGTGAGTGCTAACCTGACCTGTAATTGGACAGTCTGCTAACGTCACACATTAAACCAGTGATGCATATCTTCACCACAATGCTGTGAGACTCCACATTACCCAGGAGGAATTGAAAGAAGATTTGTATAATTATAACCAACAGTGGAGAATCATGACTCAGATCATGGCACACTGATGCATGTTACCTCACTGGGCTACAAACTTAGCTGTATAGAGAGCCTGAGTCTCCTCCCTTTCTGGTCGGCTCATGGGTCCCCGGAAGAACGAACAAATGAATGCAAGTCAACGGGGCTGAAAAAGCTATTTTCTAATCCACTTTGCCTTAGACCCTGGATTGCACATATGTTGTACTGCAATTTAAATCAAAACTAATGGTGGGTGTTTCGACCATGCCCGTCTCATTCTTGGAGATTTATCAGCTTGTAAAAGTTCGTAATTAGCATGACTACATCGGCACGTCGCATACGTGACGTCACCACGTAATAGTTTCTCCCCTAGCGTAGCTGCTACTTATCACATGACCGGATTTATGGTGGTTCTTTCCTCTTGTGAGAAGGATTTGAAGTTAGCTGAACTTACTGCCATTTTCCCTTAGTTTTCTCCATGTCTGGTTCGATGACGTCACTTCTGTGAAGCGCATTTGTGGTCCTGGACTTATTTTCACACAAAACCTAAAATAGCGTTTCCCCCCGTTCTTGGTATCAAAATGCTTTTTTTTTTTTTAATTCACAGAAATCATACGTGAAATCCATGGCACATAACAAGTGGAACTAGAAAATAGCTTTTGTTCTTCTGGGGACCCATGGTCCGGAAGTAGATGGGCGTGACTTAGACTCTCTATAACTGTTTTTACACTCATTTCTGGTATGTGCAGACCTTCTCTTGAGGAGTGGTGTATACCACAACGGTCCATTCTTGCATCCCTTCTTTTTTCCCTTTATGTTTTCTCAAGGTTACAGTATTCTGTAAACACACTTTTCAAGTTACACCTGTACGCTAGGGCTGCACAATATATCGAAAAGTTTTCGTCATCGCGATAACAGGACGTGCGATAGGCCCATTGCAAAGCACGTCAAAAACAACAATAAATGTTTGGTTCAAACATTTCCATCCGTGTCATACATGAACTTTTTGTAAACCAGCTCTGTTTTTTAGGCGGAAGTATTATTTGACCAATCACTGATGACTGACTCTCTCTCTCTCTCTCTCTCTCACTCTCTCTCTCTCTCTCTCTCTCTCTCTCTCTCTCTCTCTCTCTCTCTCTCTTTCACTCTTTCACTCTCTCTCTCTCTCTCTCTCTCTCTTTCACTCTTTCACTCTCTCTCACTCTCTCACACACACACACACACACTCACGCAGACACACACACACACCCACACCTTAAAAGTTGTTTCATATTTCTTTTTCATCATTGTGGTGAAATGGGTTCGGCCTAGTAGGTAGTCGTCGTGGTGTCCTGGATTGAACCGCCTGATTATCTATTTTGTTTACCATTGACATTTGATAACTCGGTCTGCAATCTGAATAAAACTCTTCACTAGAAAATTGAATGAATAAGACATTGTTCAAGAATCTTCCACATCAAAAAGCTAATGCTATACCAGCATTAATGCAGTGGCCCATTAGTTTTGTTTGTAATCCAAAGGTGTCATTCTTTTGCTCTAGATTTAGACCTGCTGTGGGTCTTTTTCTGAATTACTCGCAGCCTTTCATTCAATGTTATCTTGAGCGGGGTATAGATACCAGATTAGCAACGATGTCCTCTCTGTGTCACTGGACTTTGCAAACACAGCAGCTGCTAGACTCCGATCCTCTGAGGATGTTGTTTAACATTTATCATGAAAGGTGGAGGCTAGCATCAGGTTGGCTGGCTCTGCAACAGACATACCTTGTCATAATTGTTGTGATTATCCAGCCAACTGAAGGAAAATTTCTATTTGATTTTATACTCGTCTGAGACACACACTAATTTACTCCCTGTTGCACTCTCTGCTCTGACCATTCACAGTGCTGTACATTTGTCTTGCTATAAACAGGGCTGCAAAAATTCTGATTGGATGACAAACTGGCTGCTTTAAAGAGGAAATAATGACTTAAACAAAATCGTGACAAAAAATGGTGACCATTTGCAAGTCTGTTGCCGTCCAGTGTGACCAACTGGGCAACAGTTTATTGAGCATCTTCACAACCTCGGCCTCCAGTAGTCCTCAAGCACTGCTTGAAAGTCTATGACTCCCATCTGCAATCAACCAATGAAAATGCACCCAGGGAGTGATGAGAACAACTAATGACGAGAATACAACAGTAGAATTAGCAACATTTGTCGACCACTCCTTTTTGCAGTTTGGTTCAGAGTCTTATAAAAGAAGTGTTAATGCCAGTGCTTTTTCTCTTTTCAGCTTTGCTTTTGTTAGCTGTCGGCTTTTAGGCTGGGCATTTGTCACACATGAAAATGGGAACTTTAACCAAATTTAACAAAATAAAAAATTCTCTATATAAAACACTGCAATTTATGTGATAAATTTTGTGCATCTAAACAGACTAGAGATGAAAATGAACAAACACACTCCTGCAGAGAAACACGGCCTTTTCATAATTCTAAATGCACTTTTTACAGCAAAAGATGTATTTAATAAATGTGAATGCAAGCGCGCAGACAGACAGACAGACAGACAGACAGACAGACAGACAGACAGACAGACAGACAGACAGACAGACAGACAGACAGACAGACAGACAGACAGACAGACAGACAGACAGACAGACAGACAGACAGACAGACAGACAGACAGACAGACAGACAGACAGACAGACAGACAGACAGACAGACAGACAGACAGACAGACAGACAGACAGACAGACAGACAGACAGACAGACAGACAGACAGACGTGGGGTTTGGAAAACAGTAGGAGTGAGTAAAAGCGCTCGTTGAAATTTTCCATCTGATGTGAACAGAGGAGGAGCAGACAACGCACAAATTTCGTGAGCGATCCACTTTGCGGTGCTTCGCAGCTTAATTGTCTTAAACAAGGGAGGCGACATCGCCTCTCCTCCATTCATTTTCAATGGGACATGCGCAGCAAAGCGATAATCGCGGGTCTACCTCCTACCAAGCGAAACGCGAAAAACGTGCATGTGAAATTTAGTGCTTGTGCGCGTGTCGTGCACAGGCGACCCAGGCGATCCCAGAAAGTTGAAACATTTTCAACTTTTCATCGCTGTCGCTCGGACGAGGACCATTCAACGGAGGTTTCATGCACTGACCAATGAGCGGACAGTATGCTCCGTACATCTCAGAGCAAACATGAAGGAGAAGTTGATTATTATTATATTTTATATAGTAAAATCAGAAGTAAGATTTCACATAACTCTAGCAGCACCATGTGAAACATATCTACCACTTTTTTAACTCTGAACTGCTTAAATAACCTTAATTCCCTCCAACCTGACACAGCCAAAAAAAACAATGGAAGTTTCGATTTCGCCATGGAACAGAACGCGTAGACGGCTTTGCCGCTGGCCGCTGTCGCGGGTCGCCTCCCGTGTGTCAGGTAATAAAAGCGACTGCGACAAATTTCACTGATCGCGGTCGTTTGTCGCCTCCCGTGTGTCGAGCCCATAAGCCTCGTTTCCTGCTGGTGGTGTTCGGAGGGACCTGTGTACAGTGGACTCGCCTCTGTCAGTGTGCCCCAGGGAAGCTGTGGCTACAATGTAGCTCATCACCACCAGGGTGTAAATGTGTGTGTGAAGGGGTGAATGACTGTACTATAAAGCACCTTAGGGTGTTCCAGGACTCTAGAGGGCACTATATCAAATACAGGCCATTCCTTCTTCCATTGTGCATATCCTGTTTCAATTCTGTTTGCTTCACTTCCGTCAGCCTCTGTTTACTGCTGGTGTTGCTATAAGCTAATCGGAAGAATGCAGACATAAAAAAGGGTATGTCGCCACCTACTGTACCTGGAGTGGAATGAACTTTATTTGAGAGGTCTGTTTTCTAATGCCCATGAAAACTAGGATAAAGTCTCCCAACTTATTACAATAAGATTGACCTGGATTGACTTGGATGTTCAGTGTGCATGTAACAGCACTGACTGAAACTGTGGCAGCTCTCTCTCTCTCTCACTGCTGTGAGGAGCACACGGCCGCTCACGGCCTCCTTTGTTAAAGGGAGACACCACATACCTTTCAGCTCATCTTTTGCCCCGCCCACTTGCTCAGAGATTTCCCAGTTCCTGACAAATTGGTGTGTGAAAAAACCCTACGGGTGCAGGGGCCTGACTGACACCACCCAGCCCGGTCTGTGCCGGCCCAGATGTGAAACTACCATAAGCAGCCTCTTTTTCTTTCAGTGTTTCTTTACATACATTTCCTTTACAATTATGACTTCTCAGTAACATAACAAAGTGTAAAATATTTTTAGAATATATTAGACAAATTCTGATGACATGACAATGACAGTTTGCTATTCACTAACAAAAAATGGTTACCTTTAGCAATAATTTTGGGGCAGATTAACTTGACCATATTATAGTGATTGAAAGTTAAAACTTTTCATTCTTTATTTTTCAGGCTGGAAGGTATTCAGTATCCATACCACCTCTATATAAGCCCATCAGCTCGACCTGGCACCAATGGCCCTGATCGGCCCTTTCAGTGTCCAACCTGTGGAGTCAGATTCACACGCATTCAAAACCTCAAACAGCACATGCTCATTCATTCCGGTAGGTAAAGTAGGGATAATGAAAATTACATACCTATGTACAGAATAGTATTGCCACAGTGGGTCAGAAAAGATCCTGAGAAATGTATATGATGTGTTGGTAATGCAGCAAATTAGCTTCTTCTACAACTTTCAGTCCATTTGTTAAAGAGCGAGTTCACTGAGAAACAGTTTTTTTTTTAAATTGAAATATGATTAGTCACTGAGTTTCCTACACAGGCTGAACATGAAAGTGGTCTTCTACCCATATTTCCTGCATTAGCAGCTGATGGAAAATGTATGGGGAAGCACTCAGATTAGAAAAACCTGACAGATCTACATCACACTAAAAGTAGGATTCATGGACTCGCCCATCTAGACTCGCAACGGGGAAGGCTTTTGTTGGTTTATTGTCCTGGACAGAGCAGAGCGCATCTCTGCTATTGGAAGCCAACGGCATCAGAAAGTCCACAACACAGCAGAACTCCTTCAGGCTTTTTTATTTTATTTTATTTTTTATTTTTTTTTGGAGATAAAACATTCATGTTGCAAAGCAAACAGTCAGTGGTGGAGTCGTATTGCTGTGAGCCGATCAGAGGTGAGATGTCTGAACATCAGGAATTCTGAGTAAGACTGCACATCCTTCCGATTTCTGTTCCGGCTCCAGTTCTAGTTTCTGAAACAGGAGCCCAAGAGCACTTTTTCCCCACAGAGATCCACTCACAAGGCATTCATTTACACTAGAGACCACTGCAAACATGTTGAAAAGATGACTGAACTTGGTCTTTAATGCAATTTTTTTAAAACTCTGAAGACACTTGTTGGCAATCAATGTGGTCCGCTTGTCCCACATATATTAAGTGTAGTTGAGCAGCTGATTCAGCGCTGTTGCCATCACATAGCTGGAGTTATGGTGAGCAGCTGGGGAATGAACAAAAGGGTCATAATTAATGAAGCAGATTCAGTGATGGAACCTTTCTACACGTTTTATTTTTATCTTTCTTTGGTTACTACTGTGAAGCGTCTCGTTCTGTGATTTGAATGTTTAGCTCAGGCAGTGGCTGACGCAACCTCTGGTCATACTTAAAAAGGCTCCTCTTTTTTATAATTTTCTACTGAATGTATCGGAGAATTTTTTTTCTGTTGACTAAAAAGGTCAAATGCATAAAGTTTAGGTCAAGTTTAAACAAACGGAGACTAAATGTATAAGTGGTCTCGTGTAGTAGGGACTATTGCACGCTTTTAGGCTTGAGAAATTGGAAAACCCAATAATTTTGTTGTCTAAATTATATCTGATGTCTCTTTTTTTAATACTCGTGTGCAGGGATATTATGTAATAATGCTACAGACAAAATTTGCAGCAAGTGACTTGATTACTTTATGGTGAGCACTTAACATCTGCTAGCAAAGGATCATTTTTGTGGTTACACATGCTGAAAGGCTTCGCCTGCCCTCATTCTCTTTTATAAACTAGTGAGTGATGATGCTGATGAATTGATCATTAAAAAGTAAAGTTTTGTCTCGTCCCTTTGTCCAGGCATTAAACCTTTCCAGTGTGACCGCTGTGGGAAAAAGTTCACACGGGCCTACTCCCTAAAGATGCATCGGCTGAAGCACGAAGGTAAACGCTGTTTCCGGTGCCAGATTTGTAGCGCCACATTCACGTCCTTCGGTGAATATAAGCACCACATGAGGGTCTCCCGACACATAATCCGCAAGCCGCGGATTTATGAGTGCAAAACATGCGGCGCCATGTTCACCAACTCTGGCAATTTAATTGTACACCTGAGGAGTCTGAACCATGAAGCATCCGAACTAGCAAACTACTTCCAGAGCAGGTGAGGAGTCTGGGGGCACTGAACCCCACCATTTACTAAGATCTCACCTGGATCAGAAAGTAATTTTAGCTTTCATTGTGATATCGGAGGTTTAATAGATCGTTGTCCTGACTTAAGCTGTGTAGAATGTTTTTAAGGTGGAAGTATTTAAACTTGTGGGGACATTTTAATGTTTCTTGTTTAAAGCAAATGTTTTTTTTATAAGCAAGGGGACAGATTTAAATTTTTTAACAAAGCCATTACTACTCTGGTAGTAGTGGCACAAATAAACAAAGAAATGAATTGAACTGCATCATGAACTCATACAGTTCTGTCACTGGTTTGATCTTGTTTTGATTGTTGGTAAAGTGACTCTAGTTAGGCCATCTTGTATTAACTAATCATGAAAATGTTTGAGCTGCACAATATATGCCATATTTTTATCACTGTGTCAATGTGTGCTGAATTACTATTACAAAAGACTGCTTGAACAATAACAACCCATAGTCTTTTAGATGTAAGGAGCCATGCTGTTTTTGTCCTTGTTGAGCAGGTCTTTTACAAAGGGTATAGTAATCCATGCTCAACAATAACTAGCCAGTGTGATGGCCTCACTGCCCGTGGTTTCCCTTACCGGTTTCAGGGTGGTCGCCTGGTGCGGTTGGTGAGAAATTTCCATAGGCAGCAATCACACCTCTACCCCTTCCCATTTGGTGGTTTATCATTGAAGAACAGAGAAAAATTTGTAAAAATTTGGGTTCATCTGACCATATCTTGTCATTGCAATGTTCACCCATTTGTGAAGTGCTACTTCAACATTTCTAGACCATTGCTGTAAAGCATAAACTTCTTATCTCCAAAAATAGAACTTTAAATGTGAATGTGAACATAAACCTTTTTCTTTTACAAGAGGCAAACTGTTTGGTCACGAGCCTTTTTGACACTTAATTGAAAATTTGTCCAGAGAACTGCAGATGAATGAGAAAAATGAGCAGTACAACTGATTTGGCCAACAGCAACACAGAATCTATTCAATCAAGACATGTCAGCAGGACCCTATCATTATTTTAAGAAAGTCCATATTGACACTTAAATAAGTCCTTGAAGCCTCCATAATGTAAAGATATGTAGCTTCGAAGCTAACAGAACCACAATTGTTACCCCTACTTAACACTGGAGGCATGAGTGATGGTAAGCGGTCTGCTTGCAAGCTGAGCAGTCCCTCGAGACGTCAAAGGTCGCAGTTTGTTTGCCTTCCACCATTTGACCAAAAAGAAGTAAAAGAAGGAGATAACGTTTGATATCACCGTTTGATGTTATATATAATGTTGTGCCTCTCCATTTCTAAGATTAAAGCCATGAAAATCACACCGTTTCACTTCTCTAAAGATGGTGGAAGTTAATGAGCTGTTAGGCCACATGTATAGACATACATAGATATGAAATTGCATTGCTATAATAGTCTTTTATTTTGAAAATTAATGGATATTTTAGACAGTGTGTGATTTCCTGTCTAGCCCTAAGTTGACTGCGGAAATTGATGTGTCCCGTACCTGAAAATGTTGTGCCACGGCCAGTTTGGATCAACCCCATAGAACAGGGGCATTCAATTCTGGGCCTGGGGGGCTGGTATCCAGCAAATTTGAGTTTTAACTCTGTTTGAACACACCTGATTTCAATCAGTATGTAATTAACCAGCTTTTGCAGAGCCTGAATAGTTGCTGCACAGGTGATTCAGCCACCGAATCAAGTGTGTTGGAGCAGAGAAACCACTAAAACGTGCTGGGTACTGGCCCTCCAGGCCCAGAATTGAATACCTAGACTTTAATGGTTTCTATTTGAAGCAGCAACGTTCCGCTGCCGTTGCGCACTGCTGAGGCCTCTAGCGTGAAGTAGATTTAGGGTCTGCCACAAAGTTCTGCCCTTTTATGTCTGATTGTTAAAAAGCAACATGGCCTTGTTGAAGTTGTCTAAATTCATGAAGAAGGAATGGGAAAAGTCAGTTATGGCTGCAAAAGAATAATTATTTCAAATGTAGAAATGTTGGGCTTATTTTTTTTAATATTTGTCCATAACTGAGAGTAAAAGCATTAATTCCACATGCACCTTTTTATAGTATCTGTAAGAATTAGTGTGTTTGTATTCTTGTTTGCAATCATTCTGTAGAAACTGGTCAGTTAAAATTGTTTGGTAACAATTTTATTGTCATTTTAGTCTTCTATTTAGGGCAGGAACTTGGTTAGGTGTGTAGGACTAGATAGGTGAGGTAATAGGACATGATTCGTTCAGCATGAGCTAATTGAGTATTACAGCTGGTCGGTAAACCGAAAAATGATGGGTGTCAAAATGTATAACTCATACCATACCATGCCATGTGATTTTGCCCATGCTGGTATATCCATCCATGCATTTTCAGCCACTTATCTGGGGTCGGGTTGTGGGGTCAGCAGCCTAAGCAGGGAGGCCCAGACTTCCCTTTCCCCAGCCACTTGGGCCAGCTTCTCCGGGAGAATCCTAAGGCTTTCCCTGGCCAGCCATAGTCTATCCAGTGTGTCCTGGGTCTTCTTTTAGGTCTTCTCCTAGCTGGGCATGCCTGGAAAACCTCACCAGGGGGGTGAGCAGGAGGCATTCTAACTGGATGCCTGAGCCACCTCAGCCTCCGAAGAGTGGCTGGGCTCTCCCTTAGGGATAGGGTGAGAAGCTCGGTCATTCGGGAGGGGTTCGTAGTAGACCCGCTGCTCCTCCACATTGAGAGGAGCCAGTTGAGGTGGCTCGGGCTTCTGGTCAGGATGCCTCCTGGACGCCTCCCTGGTGAGGTTTTCTGGGCACGTCCAACCGGGAGGAGACCTAAAGGTAGACCCAGGACACGGTGGAGGGACTATGTCTCTCACCTGGCAGGGAGCACCTTGGGATTCCCCCGGAGGAGCTGGCCCAAGTGGCTGGGGAGAGGGAAGTCTGGGCCTCTCGCCTTAGGCTACTGCCCCGCGACCCGACTCCAGATAAGCGGATGAAAATGGATGGATGGATGGATGGAACTTTGAGCAAACTCGTTGTGATACATACTTGTGATTGGAACAGTACTTAGGCCAGTGGTAATGATGATTCACAAGGGAGTGAGTACACAGGTTTAGAAGAGTTTGCATATTGAGAAATGGCCCTGATCTCTGCAGTGTGCGTAGAACAATTCTGCCCCTGAGATTTGGTGGTGACCGCTGTAAAATGATGTGAAGAAAGTGATTTTTCCCATGCCTGCTACCCTCTGGTTGGCCATCATGTCCTCTCATTGTTCTGATTAGTTGTGCCAATCCAATTGAAGTAAAACCCCTCAAAGGTATGCTGTCTTTCAGGGGGTTGAACTGCTCAAAACTCATCTGAGACCTTGTTACCGTTTGATCCAAATCAACTATGGCAATGAAACAGTTAAACTACCATAACAAAAGGTTGCTCAGGCTTTGCTACTTGAGACGTTCCTGGCCTCTGCAGTTTCCACTGCTTGTGCTGCTCCTAAACTTCCATTCAAGATCTTTATAAATATCAGTAAATCGGTAAAGCTGTTCTGCAGTTTTTGCACAAACGAAATAAATAACTTGTGATTAATTAATCATTGAGCTTTATGGGTGCTGATAGAGATGTTTTGTTTTTGAATACTATAATTATAATATGATATTAGTGTAGCATTTATCTTATGATTTAAGTCTCTGCTGGATAGTAAAACAACCTAATTCTCAGAATGTCAAACTATGCAAAAGACATTACTGAGAGAGCTTGGTGAGAATATTGGTGTTGGGTTCTCTGTCAAATCCCATTGTCCCATTAGGAGTTAAATATACACAGACCTTTTAAGAATTAATTTATTCTTAAGGTTTTTCTCCTTGCTTAGCAATCTTGCTCATCATTTATCACGTTTGTTTTTGTGGAAATAGTTCAGTCCCAAGCAAAAATAGCAGCTTATTTACGTTTATATGCAACTTAAAGGCATTAATTCTCTAAGGCAGAACACAATGTCTTTATACAGTCAGTCTTTATACAGCCATGTTTTGTTTTCCAGACTTTCCACTTCTTAATCAACTCAAGCCCTACAGGTCGGCAGGACTCAGACGTGCTATTGACTCCACAGACATTTTATAGCAGAAGCTCAACGCCTGAGATCATAACAGTGCGGAAAATTCTCTGGCTGTGCAGTCAGACCCAGAAGTCCCATCTTCTATCGAATGGAAATAATGTTTACTGTACTCACTAATTTTTAGATCAGGTCTCGCTTAGATTCGCTGTTTTGTTATTACTACAATTTTCATTGCATTACAAAGCACATTTTCAAGTGACAATCAAAATTAAATCTCTCACGAAGATCAGAGGCGTGTGTGCGTGTGTGTGTGCTTGTGTGTGTGTGTGTGTGTGTGTGTGTGTCACTCACTCTCATTCTCCAAGAAAGAGCAGTTTCGTTTGCGACAGACACATCACTAATTTATTCCAAGGTGGGACAGAGTTGAAGCCCATTAAATACAGAAGTTTTTCGTTTTCGACGGAGAGTCAAAGCTACAAAGGAAAACCTGCAAAACAAGCTAGGCTAAAACCTTTCTATTCATGCATCTTAACATAGTAGCTATAAATGTTTAGTTGCAATAAAAAAATAAATGATGATAATGTAGTGATTCTAATGAATTGGTCTAAAAACCACAGCCAATAACACCTTTTGAAAAATCTAGTTGAAAGTTATTTGTGACAACTGATGATACCTAAGTTCACCCAGCTTGGGTGTGCCACACTTTTCAGTTGAATTAAAGTCCCATCAGTTGTCACACACACTGTGTGTGTGAAATTTGTTCTCCGCTTTTGACCCATCCTCTGGGGGAGCGGTGAGCTGCTGACACAGCCGCGCTTGGGAACCATTTGGTGGTTTATCAATCAAATCAAAGATACTTTATTAATCCCAGAGGGAAATTAGAGTTTCAGTACACACAATTCAGAGATCAAACATACATGGGCAAAACACATGACAAGAATCTGTGGACTGTGAGGGA